AAAAAAATCCGAATAGCACTTTAAGGGTTGGAAACTTTGGATATCTTGTAAACTAATATCTGAAAAACTCGAAATCAACTAAATTCATTAATTATTTTCTTACTATGGCTTTCAAATTAAGGAGTTTACTAAATTCAAAGATTTTCTAATACTTGTAAGGAGTTTGTGTATTTCTTTTATACGGAGTTTTCGGTTAATTCAAATATTTTAGAGTATTTTAGAATATTTTTTGGATAGTTCATATAGTCTTTTACCAGGTAATTCATATATATTTTTTTCCGAATTTTAAATTAATTTTAGATATTAGATAAATCCCAAATTCGAAAGAACTGAAACGAACCCAACCCAAAGAAAAAAATTTGAAAGGAACTTATAAGTTTGGTACCGAAAACCCGAACGGTACCAAAATGACCACCCCTCGTAGACATTAGACCATCCCCAATGGGGGTTTCCTCGATGGTTTCTAACTAAGTAGAAAATAATGAAAAAATATGAAAGAGAATGAGAAAGGGTTATTGTCTAAGAAACTCCATTTCCTTAAAAATGTTCACATGTGCAATTTTGTTTTGGAAATACTTTTTGAAAATACTATATCTCAAAAATTTCTTAAAAAAAATACCATAAACCATAAAACATTTCAAAAAGTACCACAATTCACTATTTTGTCAACAAGAAAAGACTATTATACCATAAACCATAAAACCTTTCATAACGAGAGAGGGTGTTTCGGCACGGTTCTCAAAATTTGTGTCACGAGTATGTTTTCGTCCACAATATTTTTTTTTGTCCAAAATGTTTTCGTCCACAACGACTACCAACACCGTCTTTTCCAACAACCACCGTCGTATTTTTAATCCATTGTCTCCCTTTTTTCACAACCAACATATTCCTCTTTGTCCACCACAATCCACCACCGTCTATGTTCTTGACCACCAATCTTGTCCACCGTCTTTGTTTTCGTCCACCGTCATTACTGGTGTCATTTATCACCATCATGTCTCCGTTTTCGTCTACCGTTAACACTGTCTCGTCCACCACCACCATTATCACCATCATGTCTTTATTTTCGTCCACTGTTACCACCGTCTCGTCCACCACCACCACCATCTT